TGTCGTCGTTCTTTTCTCGCGTTATAATTATCGTCGGGGTGTCCTGCCGGCGAGGTGTGTGAGATCGTGTACTCCTGTCACGCTGCCGCTCACCGTCTGTTCCGGATTTTACGACCATCGAACGTTTCGAGATTGCTGGTTGCTTATTTGCTTTATTTGAAGGTCCTCGTAATTTCTCAAGTGAATCGCGTAGGTGAACTCTTTGCATGTGGGTATGCACTTGAAATGAGTAGCGGATCTGAACGGGGCAACCTTGTGTCCCGGACTCTGTTACGTGTGTTTACAAGTGACCCCACTGAGGAATTAGTGCTGGCGCAGTTGCACAGTGGGCTGTTAAGGGTCTAATCCCGCGTACATTATGTATTCCTACCGCTGACAAACATATGCCATGAATGTATGCCATGAATGCCATAATTCACATTTCATAGTCTTGCTTCTCCTGCGGTAGTTTCGTTCACGTGTTATATTGCAAAACTGGTATGGTATGACATGCCTGCATAGCGAACATAAGTGACAGACGCTAACATGGCAATCCTGACGTGCATGCCATGTATGAATGCATCATGCCACGCTCATGGTGTGCTCACCATCCTTTCGCTAGCTTCACATATGCCGAATGCGGTGATTGATTGATTGATTGATTGATTGATTGATTGATTGATTGATATGTGGGGTTTAACTGTCCCCAAACCACCATATGGTTATGAGAGACGCCGGAGTGGAAGGCTCCGGAAATTTCGACCACCTGGGGTTCTTTAACGTGCACACAAATCTGAGCACACGGGCCTATAACATTTCTGCCTCCATCGGAAATGCAGCCACTGCAGCCAGGATACGAACCCGCGACCTGCGGGTCAGCAGCCGAGTAACTTAGACATCAGACCACCGCGGCGGGGCGTACCAAATTCGGCGTTACGTGACGTCAATAGAGGACGAAGGTATATGACTGATTGGTGCAAACCTTATATAATCATGACATGCGTATCATGTATTAACATGACATGCATGTAAGAACAAGACAACATACTACGCTCATAATGCACTCGCGGCCGTTTCGCTAGATTCACATATACCAAATTTGGTATTACGTGACGTGAATTTACGACGAAGGTAAATGACACGTCCAAACATGACAATCATGATATGCATGTCATGTAAAACATGACTACATGCTACACTCATAGCTTGCTCACGGCTGTTTCGCTAGCTCCAGCTATATAAAATTTTGTATCGCGTGACGTGAGTGGAAGACGAAAGTAAATGACGCGTCCAAACATAATAAACATAATAATCTTGACATCCGTGTCATCAAAACATGACAACATGATACGCTCATAGCGTTCTAGCGACCGTTTCGCTAGCTTCGCATACCACGTCACGTGACATTGAATTTGGTATGAAATGACGTGAACAGAGAGGAAGCTAAATGACACGTCCAACCATGATAATCAAGACATTGAAGTCATGTGCGGCCTAATTTACGTCTGCTCGTATCGTTGTGCTCAATTTAGAATGACCTATAAACCTTCCTTATTCGTGCTTTGCATATCAACGATTCCCACTGTACGTGAAATCTGCCATTTAAAAAAAAAGTGTGATTGACTTTTTGTTCTATTCTGTTTTTTATCCATGTATTTGCTTGCCGGCATTTTAACCTGCAATATTTTGGATTTTTTTATATTATATAGTTTCCAATGTTTCACATGCTGTAAACACTGTTCAAGACAGATCTATTCACGTTTTTCTTTTCCTTTTTGCTCAAGGTGTATTCACAGTTCGTTACTTTTCTCTCTTTTATCTTTTGTACAACCCACTCCTGCTTATGGCTTGCCAAGCAAGCTGGAAGTAATAAATAAATGAATGAATAAATGAATAAATAAATAGGTAAATAAATAAACACATAAAATAAATAAACAAACCAATAATTAAACAAATAAAAAACAATTGGTAATTGCAGCCACAGAAAAGTAACTGACAATAGATGTAATAGATCACTTTTGTGATACTTTCTTTCAGAATTTGATTGCTTTAACTCAATAGCACTAGTATGCGCAAACTAGAAGAGACTAATGTGGCTTGCGCGGTAGAGTGAAGGCTGGCAGACCTACTGCGACTTTGGCCTCTGACACAGTGCTACACGTTGTTAACTTTCAACAAGAGTTATTTCGGCAAATAGGCCCTTAGCAGAAGATCATCTCAATATATGGTGTGCTGCTCACGAAGGTCCTAGAGGGGACCGTCATGGCCGACCGCATAGCTCGAGGCTTCACCAACCAAGCGACGGCAGGCACAGAAGTTGAGCCTCTTCCTAGTGCGCGCGAAATTCTTCTCCAACAAAAGGAGCATCGAAGAGAGAGTATGGCTTTTCCACTTAAACACTTACATAGCCAAGAAAGCAGAGATTCGATACGCATACAAACCGACAGCTTTCCAACTTTGTACAACCGAAGTAGAATGTATCCCACACAATTTTGAGAAACACGTCCCTGGTGTTCAGACACAACGACACTTAGCCACAAAGCAATGGTGTGCACACGCCAACAGCCCACGCGTTACTAACCATCCACATATATTACCCAGGCAGTGGGAGGCATGGCTTGCGGACGAGGCCTATCAGAGGCAAATAACTTCGCTTGACCAGGTCCAGCGAGCCACTCGTGTCAGCGGAGCCCTGAACTGAAAAGGGCCTGACCACTAGTGTCTGAATTTACCTTTTAGGGGCGAAGCTCCCTATAGCGGCACCCGTTCGTCCCGCGTCCCGTCGTAGTATGTAACCAGTCTTACGCTTTGACCTATAAACATTTTGACCTCCCAGGTGGTGCCGGTGAGAGATTCCTTCTGTGCGTTGTTGAACAACAAAACATAGTGCTCAATGTACATGCCAATAGCTGATAATGGGGTATAAGAGACAGGAGCAGTCGGCTTTTAGTTAACGTGCACGCTACAATCCCCAATAGCAGCCATTGCATGTACACTGAGCACTTTCTGAAGAAAAAGGGTTGCTACGTTATACCCGCTGGGTGTAACCACCTTAGTTTTAGAAAGGTTTAGCGAGCGTTGAGCCGCAGTGCCATGAATACAATGAACTAGTATATACCATGAATGAACTCGAGGTAGTTAAAGGTGGGAAGTAGGTACGAAGTGCAAGCCGTAAGAAAGTAAAAGCCGAATTCTCCTGTCTCTCATTTCCCATGCAGCCATTGGCATGTACATTGAGCTCTATCTGCCAGGAAAAGGTTGCTACGTTATACTCGCTGGGCGTAACCTCCTTGGTTTTAGAAAGGTTTAGCGAGTGTTGGGCCGCAGTGCCATGAATACAGTGAACTAGTATATACCATGAACTTGAGGTGGTTAAAGGTGGGAAGTAGACCCGAATCGCAAGCTGTTAGAAAGTGTGCATGTGTCATCTCTCGTTTAGTCCTTGGAATGTCCGCTGAATGGCGGTGTTTCTATATGGCGAATATATGATGAAAAGATGTGAGATGGTGATTCTTGGAGTGTTGAATAGATGGACGAATGGACACACAGACAGATGCATTAATGGACGCATGAATGGACGCAGGGGTGGATGCATGGACGAACGCCGGAACGGACGCACGCATGGACGGGCGGAAGAACGCATGGACGGTCGCACAGACGGAAGGAAGCAAGAACAAATGAACGGACGAATGCTTCGCCCCACTCTTCATTATTCACTCAGTGGATATGCTGCCATTTTTTTTTCCTGAATAAAGTTTCTTCCTTCTTCACCTCCTTCTGACTTTGCCGTTGCTGACTCTTTTACATTTTCTCGCCAAGACGTCAACTGCTACACTGAACTCTCTCAGTGTATGAACTGGAGCGAAGGGCGGTATTACAACATGTAAATAGTTTGGGCCGCAGCTCGCAATTGTGCAGTGCTTTGATGCTAGTGCTTATAGCTTTTATGAAGCGTTGCACTTGGCTGTTGCTGACGCTCGGTTGAAGCGTTGCATGTAAGGCCAAGAAAGCATCGAAAAAAAATTAGTCGGTGGGTCATCGCTTCAGAACGTTAGAGACGTCCTTGCTGTAAACAGTAGAGCGGCCACTATTTCTCAAGACAAGGACGGCCTCGGAAGACTGGTTACAACTTGATTTCGAATGAGAAAGTAATTGAGCACCGGTAATCAATCAGAAGAAAATGTCATTCAACTAGCCAGAACACTGCAGTCTTGGGGATTTTATTGACTGAACTAAAATTACAAGAAGCAGTAATTGATTACAACTAATCAATTAGTGTTAACAGCTTGTGTAAACTCTTAGAGAGAGCTTGGGCAGCATGCCTTAGTTATTCTTCCAATGATCAACACTTTATAAATTTTTGATGAAGGCGGAAATGCTGTAGGCCCGTGTACCCAGATTTGGGTGCACGTTAAAGAACCCCAGGTGGTCAAAACTTCTGGAGTCCTCCACTACGGTGTTTCTCATAATCATATGGTGGTTTTGGGACGTTAAACTCCACATACGAAATGAAACACTTTCTAAATCATGGACTTGCCAGTGATCAGCCGATTCCGATGTGGCCATGCCATTTTTTATCGAGGCGATTTGTTATTCGACGTTGCCATGTCTAAGTGTAGCTTGGACATGAAAGCATGGCCGTTGTTGTTGCCTGTAGCAAATAACGTGCAGCTGCAACACGCTTCTGAGTGAAGGTCTCACTCTCGCATGGACAAGAAAACATTTACGAATGAGCATTTCTCAATACTATGCAAAAAAATATATATAAACAAACAAATAAAATCAGGGCGGAATGCAATAAACGCAGGCATGAAGTTTCGTTCCCTCCAATTTTCGTGACAGAGGAACAGATCATAATGTTTTAAAAAAATATGGCCCCTTGAAAAAAGTTGTTTTTATTAAGTTCAAGACAACGGGAACAAACGAATGCGCAACATTCCTTAGCCTCAAGACTGGTAAATACATTTTCGTAAGAAATATCTGGTTCCAGAGAAAGCATTCAAAAGTAATTACTTAATTACCGGTTCCTCGAGAGTGAAATAACGGAGTTGTCAGCGAAGAGTGGCAGCTCCCAATAGACTCTAGCCTCGTCGTCCGTCGCGTTGAAGTCTCTGTCATAGGGACAGCGCCTGACCTGGGGCTTTTCTTCGTCTGCACAAAATGAACAAAACAAAGACGACAAAGAGGGAAGTGTCATCAAAACGCAGTGAGCGCTGTAACCACTGGTGCGCTCAGCGTGATCAGGGGCACCTTACACAAAAGACCGCAACAAACTAACACTCCCCACTGCGCTGACAGCAATGTGCCTCATACAATAACCCTCATATGCTCTACATCAGGGGTATCAGACACAATTGCTCAGGCCTCCTCTCGTGTATTCACATTATTCTTTCTTTCAGACCGACGGCCTGGCCTCCGCATCAATGTAAGCTCCGTCGCGGTGGTCTAGTGGCTAAGGTGCTCGGCAGCTGACCCACAGGTCGCGGGATGGAATCCCTGCTGCGGCGGCTGCATTTTCGATTGAGGCGAAAATGCTATAGGCCCATGTGCTCAGATTCGGGTGCACGTTGAAGAACCCTCGGTGGTCGAAATTTCCGGAGCATTCCACTACGACGTCTCTCGTAATAATATGGTGGTTTTGGGACATTGAACCTCACATATCGTCATCATCATGCACATCAGTGTATTCGACCCACTTCTCCTTGTTTGCCTAACAATAAGTACGCTCATGCACGACACAGGATTGACAAGTATCAGGCATTTTTTCGCCTTTCGTGAGGCACACCATCCAGTGACCATGTGTAAAAGGATGACCAACGGATAAAAAACTCTACATGTACTATTTGGTATATAGATTCCACTCGTTCTGGTCACCAGTATTGACAATTTTCTCAAAGGCCGACGTCAAACTTACTACAGAAATGACCCACACGAGTGATACGAGAAAGACCTCTTTGCAAATGACAGTTATAGCTGACATCTTGTTCAACGCCCCCCTTCCTCCCACCTTTCTCACGTTACAAGACAATTTTTGTCCACCTTCACCATCTCTTGTTGACGTCGTGCGGGAGACCGAAATTTGTGATAATGACCCGATAGATGAACCGCGTTCGAGACCCCCCTTCTAGACTGTATGAGAAGATGTAGTGCATATAAACTTTATATTCGTTAAGAACTCTTATCAACAGCAAAATAATGCATGCAAGATTGGAGTATTTTAATGTGATATCTTGCTTCGTGCTAACAAGTAAAATTCATGGTAGCAAAAGGTCCGTAACATTGTCGAAAATACCTCGAAACGCAGAAGAATCCAGGAAACACGTCTTTTCCAATAAAGCTGTTTACTACTACTGCTAGGAAACATAGCATCGAATCGCCATCGAGGTATATCATTGTTAACATTGCCTAAATGCAACAATGTGACAGCGATACAGAACGCATGAACAATCTGGTGAACTATGTGGTTCCTCAACGTTGAATGGTTTTAGACAATGTGGGAATAAAACAGCCAAAAAAATATGTTTTGACATGCTTCGAGCTCTCTTACTTCGTCTAACGCCGTTGCAACGTCGAAGAAAGGAAATGGTTGAAAAGCCGCGCTTGCTCTCAAGTTCCACACTCAAGCTGAAAGTCACGTAGAAACCGTGTTGACAGTACGAAAGAATAGTCTCTGCTTCTCTTGTTTGAGACGCGAAACGCAGTGCCTATCACACGGTGATGTTTTTTTTTTACTTCGAGATTCAATGTTCATTCAAATTTGGTACATTGGCGCGAATCATAGTTGAAAAACTGACTTAACACAACCTAAACAAAATGCGAAACGTTTCTTAGCGAAACTAAAGCCTTTTGAGCGTTTCGATCTAATGGGATTTACCCATTGTGGCGCACTTCGGCTTTTATGATGGGCTATGCAATGAGTCACTGTGACCACAGGAGTCGCCGACAAGCTTAAACACAAGGGTGCCTCGCACCAAACGGGGGGCAAAGCCTGACCCATTGTGTCTGCCATCGTTCCTGAGCTACTGCGCTGTTCGTACAAAGTTCGCATAGTACACTGAACCCAGGAAATGCGTACTGAAGATCTGGCGTGTTGAGCCGCCACATAATCCCGGCTGCAGGTGGCTGCATTTTCGTTTGAGGCGAAAATTCTGTAGGCCTGTGTGCTCCGATTTGGGTGCACGTTAAAAAAACCCCAAAAAACCTGAGGTGGTCGAAATTTCCGAAGCCCGCCGCTACAGCGGCTTTCATAACAAAATGGTGGGTTTGGGATGCTAAACCCCACACATTTAAGTGTCACATAGACACAATAATGTCATGATTCGGAAAGTCAGCACACCGAGTTTGATGCATCTGACGTCCACATCGTTGGAAGGAGAAATTTGACAGAAATACTGGTTAGTGTTTTAGACGTCGTTCAATCTGGATGATTCTTGCTTTCATTTTAGTTCGTACAACTCACTTTTAGATGAGCGAACGTTTCAACTGAGGCTAGAATTATTCAGTTCTGAACGCTTTTGCGTTTACCTTCTCCTTTTTTAATACGGGTTATGAAACATACGCTCGGCAACTGTCGGAGAGCTGAATGCATTGCCAGGCAGTGTCGACCATTCGAGATACGCCCCCCGAAACAGCTGCATGCTCGGGACCATGATCATAACAGATAAATCACGACACGTTCCGTATCACAAACCGAGATAAGGCTTGCAGGCCTGCATGCACAAGAAAAGACATGAAAATTCCGCGCGGCAATATCACTTCCCTTATGGGGAGAGTGGGAGGAGTATTTCAATGATGTTTATGTTATGTGGGGTTTAACGTCCCAAAACCAACACATGATTATGAGACACGCCGTAGTGAGCACTCCGGAAATTTCAACCACAAGGGGTTCTTTAACGTTCACTCAAATCTGAGCACACGGGTTTACAGCATTTTCTTCTCCACTGAAAATGAAGCCGCCGCAGCCATAATTTGATCCCGCGACTTGCGGGTCAGCAGCCGAGTACCTTAGCACCTCAACCATCGCGGCGGGGCCTGAGGTATTTCAAGGAGGGGTCCTGACCCACTTTTCGAAGCAATCGTTGAGTTACCTCAGTACTTGAGTTTAATGCCTCACGGACAAACTGCCGCATTTTTTTTTGAAATCCGCCAAAAAAAAAAAAAATGGCCACGTACCTGCGTGTATTTGCAAATGTCGTCGAAAGACAATAGTTTTGTGTGTGGAGAGAGTGAACAAAACATTGATTTGATGTTTCGGCCAAGAAAATCGGTGAATGATATTCTGGGGGCGCTACGTTAGAGACGTCTCAAGCGTGCGGCGGAGGCGAACGAGCGCATCAAGTCGCGTCACACGTGAGACATGAGCGTCATCTGCAGTTTTCTTGGAAAATGAAACGCGTGGCTCCGAGACTGGTGTGCGCGCCCGTCTCTGAGGTAATAAGCAGTAGAACGCAAGGCGACTGGTAGGTGCCACCACCATCTCGTCTTAGGAAAGCGTCGCAAACACTTGCCGTTCCGTGCAAGCGCTGCATCGTCAGCGCAGCGTGATAAGCACTACAGTCCTTAAAATTACTTAACTAGGCCTTTTCTAGTAAAATGCGCACATGCAGAATATATACGACTTTGTATGGTGCCCCCAGAAATGCGCAATTATCGGTTTTTAATTGACAATGACACAAGTATAAACGCTGAACCAATGAGCAACATTTGTGGTCGCTGCGGATGGAATTGGCTGTTTCAAATACCCGGTGCCTTCAAGAGTGGACAAACAGACAAATGTACAGACAGACAGACAGACAGACAGACAGACAGACAGACAGACAGACAGACAGACAGACAGACGGACAGACAGACAGACAGACAGACAGACAGACAGACAGACAGACCAAAACTTTCGCGTCGAAGGTCTCCAAGAAAGACTATCGTCCTCAAAGATGGAAAGACTTATAGCGTTTAGTCGCACGCTATAAGAGCTTCCTATCTTTCCAGGACCCGATGTGCCTCCTGGAAGCTACGCAGAGAAAGACGACTCGAGAGAGAGAGATCATGTGGGTGCGTGCCATGACATTGAACACGCGCGATGAGGCGCAATCGCTTTTTCCCAGTGAGATTTCTGTGGGTGAGCGTGGCTCACTGTGCAATGTTAACGGACTACCAGCGCGGTGTTAGCTCGTGGCACCCTTCCTCATGGCAAAAAGTGCATTTGATTCAAACGTCGTTCTTCATTGTTGTCGCCTATTGGCCAACAGCATGTTTTTTCTTGTTCGACGTCCAAGAGTGGCCACCAGCAGCCCTGAATAGAGAGAGATAGAGCGAGGAGGACGAGCCTCTGTACGAAAAGAGGGCGCTTGAGGAAACGGACACGTCCCCCGCCACTTCCAACTCTCCTTGACGCACACAACTACAAGATTCGGCTGAGCTGTCAAAAGAAATGCATTCTATCCGCAGGATGTGTTTTCTCGCCATACCCAAGGACTGGTTCAGAACCTTTCTAAGGTTTCTGGAACAATGGCCTTCGAAACCTCTCACGAAGCCCGACCATGCAATAGAACAGTCGATAGATACTGTTAATGCGAATAATCAAGAAATAAACACATGTGTTCCTTACCAAGTACTGTGATGGTGAACCTACAACTGTCGCTGAGTCCAGCACCGTCTGTCACCGTATAGTCTACTCCGTATGTGCCTATGGGGAACGAACGCGCTCCTGGGTGGTACGGCGGCGTCAGAAAGAGGCTCCTGCTCTTGTCGTTGTCCGAGTAGGTCGGTGCAGGCCACGATAAACTCACAGAATTCGTTCCCGCATCGGTGCGAATTCTGATGTCCTCAGGGCAGGTTATGCGAGGCTTTTCGACATCTGTGAACAATAAAGTTTTCTCACTGCCGAGACTTCAAAGTCAACTCTCTACAGCTGTCCCTCTTTCTTTGCAGTTTTGCAACCAAATTCTACAGTACATAGGGTATTCAAAATAAGCTTTATGGTTTAGGTTTATAAATAAGCTCATGGCTTATGGGGACTCTCTTTTCCAGTTTGTGTCCCTCTGGCCGTATAGCTCACTTCCACAGGCACGCGCGTGCCGTCTAGTGGTGAATTTTAAGGAATTCATACAGCCTAAAGGTGAAGACCAGTTATAGGTCTTGCGCGAAAAAAATAA